ATCAAGGGGTTCCCATCATTACCCTGCGAAAGCGATCGTCGCAAATACATGTGAATGTCATCCAGCTCGTAAGATCTTTCGGGAATAATGATTTCCTTATCATCGTTATCGTAGTAAAACTTATTATTCGACAAATTTACATTCGGTATGGTGTAATAAGTCTCAAAGTCCGTAAGGCCAAGCTCGTAATTACCATTGCTCAGATCGATGGCCGGAAAATAGCTAGCTGCGAGAATGCTACCTTGCCTAGTGAGCATTAACGTCAGCGACATGTTCAAACGAATACTGGAGTTAAAGTGTGCAATGACTGCTCTTAAATTGATTGTCAACCGCCTGCAGACACTGCAAACATAGCTGTCCGTAATTGCTCTGATTATAGCGCTGATAAGGCCTTTTTTTTCTTTTTCTATGGCGATTGTGGGGAAATGCATTACGCATAGCTCTGCTTTTCGGGGGAGGCTATGTGGGACTATCATCAAAGATGAGAGCGTCGAAGCTCGCCCGTCCCCGATGGCTACCCACTAAAACTCCACGCCCGTCTAAGCTACATGGGAAGCGCCTGGATCACGCGAATACTCAACAGGACACTTCGCAGCTAACATGAATCCCGGGGGGAGGGTGTTAACCTCCCCCACGCCTTACTCTATAAGACCCCGGTCGGAGGGACTCGCCCGGTGTCGCCATCCCCGGGACCGCCGATATTGGGTTTTCGAGCCACCGCTCGGTCGACTGACGGCCCCCGACACCTTCGTGCCCATTCCACTACAGGAGTCCCAAGGGTCCCCATGCAGAATGGGCAAGAAGATGCCGACACCGGTAAGGGAGGTTCGTCGCATGATGCTGCACGCCCCAAACCTCCCCACCCCAACACTCACGGGCCCCAGAAGGACCCCGTGGTCCTAGTGGGGACGGTCCGACCACATTAGATGGGTATGTCCCGAGGCGAACTGTAGCCCCTTCAGGGGCCAGGGTCAGCTCACGCCCCGGCCCCCCACAATCACTGCCTCCGTGCGAGGCACATGTCGTCGCGGGGGCGCCCCTCGCGGCCCCCCACCATTAATACCCCCACGCAGGGGCATACGCCGGCATAAGGGACGTTCTCACGTCCACATCCTCCTTGCCGAGCCCGGGTCTCTTTCCCGGGCTCGCTCGGCGGCCTCCTTTTGCGACATAACCTCCTCGCAAAAAGAGGCCGCTGCCTTCTACGACCTCTCGCTCGAGACTATGTGGTCGACCATGGCCGCGAGCGAGAGGTCCCACCCACCCACTGCGACACAAGCGGCGAACCCTCAACTCTGGCCCCCCGATATTGGGCAGCAACCGCGCTGACGCGGTAGCTGTCCCTTGCATTCTGGGGGCCAGGAGGTCAAAGTGCTCTGTCGTTCCCCAGAGCTCAAACTCAGTTATTGGTGTCCCCTTGGGGTACACCCTCCCCCTAATAGCTCTATTAAGGGTTATTTCTCCCTTCTCCTTTGCATAGCGGGTGTCCTAGGCTCTCAATTTAAGGTATACCTGGATCATAATCCCAACTATGAAATTATCGTCACCGCTGGGGCATAACGTATTTGCGAAACCGTCAGCGCTGGGGCATAACGTCTCGAAAAAAATAAACGGGCAGGCAACGTCGGCACGTTACAATACCAGTACTTTTAATGTATGCATCACCATTAAATAGCAAATTTCACATTTACATAGATAATAATAAATGTATCGTTGTTAACTATGTTAAACTGGATTAGCACAGGTATTGAGTATAGAGTTGGATTAGAATTCGTACGTTGGACGTAGATATTATCAATAATAATTCTTGTTAACCTTCGTTAACGAGCTTGGATGCTCGTGGAAGTTTGAGAGAAAATTGGATTTGCATACTGGACGCGGAATTCGCATTATTTGACACACTTTACTTCTGCTGAAGATAATGTATGTAGGTTGTTGTTAACAATTGTTAACAACAATTAGACGCTTTATCGTAGGAATGGAAATCAAGAAGTAAGTTTGATTTTACCTTTGAATTGGACATTAGTATTATTTAATAAATTTCTCATTTATTAAATTAATAGTTTATGTGATTGTTGTAAATCAAGAATTAATGATCTCAGGCGCTTAATTATTAATATTGAAGCGAAGATTTGTGCTACTACGTTTCTCCTCTGTACATATAAGCATTAATTTATAATAATCTAGAGGTGAATTATTAGAAGGTAGAAATATAGAGGAGTGTCTTTTTGGCATCTCAAACTCCTTAGTTTATTAATAATTATGTTATTAACATTTTAAATGAAGGAATAAAGTTCGGGCGAGTATCAGGAGAGCAGGAACGCGAGGAATGTCGCGTCCATGCTTCCCGCACTCGGACGAGTACAAAGATCGCTTGGCGCGTGCCGCTTATCGGCAGGTAGGAAGAGTTCCGAGCGTTGAGCGTGGCTCGGCTCGGCGCGTGTCGCTTATCAGTAGGTAAGAAAAGCTATAAGCGTCGCTCGTGAACTTAGAATGAAATGTAAAATATTCGTACTTCGGTGTACGAGGATAAGCTATGATATTCTATTCGTGTATGAGATTCTTATAAAGTATTCGGTAAGAACTTAATATTTGATACACGAATATAGGAATAATTAATGTTCGACTAATATATTATAATGTTAAAAATTGGGGTGGACAGACGGGTGACGTCACACTCTTTTGAGCTGCTTCCTTTTAATGCAGAACTCGACGCGCAGATTTTCAGCATTGGCTCTTCCCCTCTTCATAGCCCTTTGAAATCTCCTCCTGATGGAGTTAGCTTCTCTCCTTAGCAAGGATATTTCAGGGGTCCACCATACTCTAGTGCGCCTTGAAACTGGTGAACTCCTTGTGGGTTCCATACTGCCCGCGCAAGCAGCTTCAAAGGCATATAACACCTTATCGATCTCCTCTTCAGTTAATGGGCCATCAGCCGGGACATCTGCCGTCATTTGATCCAGCGTGGCTAAGAAACGCTCCTCGTCGAGAGTATTGGTTTTCCAACCTCCGACATGCGAGGACCTGGACCAAGTACCGCCCCCTCCGATTACGATGCACTATTGTGTCTACTATTAATTTGAGTAGCTTAAATGCCATGATGATTCTAATGACTCCAGTACTGAATGAACTGAACGTAGTGAACCAGGCCCATAGACGGTTTCCAACGCTCTCGGCAATTTGGTCCAGCATTTGGTTGTCCATGAGGTTGATCATGTGCACATTCCCCTTGGGTATGTTATGTCCATAGCGCCATGTGCAAAAGTATTAAACATTGCTGGTGTAACGTCCTCCGGTCTTCTCAGGACTACTAAATTTTTCAATTACCTTTATTCTAAGCCTCGCCAAAGTCGCGGGATGAGTTTTAAACATATTGCATACCTCACAGGATGCAACTTCGTTAGGGAGGAATTACAAATGGCGCCGATCGAGGGGACAGGCCCAGATCGAGACCAATATCTAAAAATAAATGAGAAATAAACCTCACATCGCTCCCTCCATAAAAGAGTATTAAGGGTGGGCACGTTGTTAGTAAAAGGGGGGCATCGCGCGCCCAGGGCTCTATTGAGACCCAACCACGTGATGACCCCTCGCGGCAGCGAGTACTAAAAGGGTACAATACCATGTAATACATTTAATAATAATAATAAAAATCCGATTTTGAGACTAATAAGCCACGACTTTCCTTAGCAGGCTGAGAACCACTTGTGATTCAAGGCCAAGTGGCAATGCCCTTGAAATCACAGCGTAGGAAAATAGCACATGGCCTTGGCGATAGCGAACGGCCTTGATAGCGGACGGCATTGATAGCGTGTGACAGTCGGCCAAAATTTTTGGCCCCTCAAATTTTTCCTACATATATATATATTATTTTGCCCAACCAGACGCCTCGCAAGTGCACGCCGCTCTCGGAACACCTATAATTCTGAAATATTATACAAAACTTAGTTATAATCACACATAGCATATCTAACGAGTTGAGAACCGCGTGCGAGAACCACTGCAATTCCGAAATTCCTGCCATTGACGTCACGGGTATTTGCCTCTTCTCGGAATCATCCAGAACAAAGGAAATTCCTCAACACGAACCACGGCGATTCTCGGAATTCCTGGCATTGACGTCACGGGTTTTTGCCTCTACTCGGAATCATCGAGAACAATGGAAATTCCCAAACGCAAGCCACCGCGATTCTCGGAATCGGCTTCACGGGGATTTTGCGAGCGTTTTTGTCTCTTCTCGGAATCCTCGAGAACAAAGGAAATTCCTCGAGGCAAACGACATGACATACGCATATAAATACCGTGGTTTCCTGCGACTCGCCCTCTTTTCGGTTTTGTCATTTGTACGTGCTAGTTGTCGGTGAATCGCTCTAACAAATCTTACACGTGGTCTACATTTTCGAATTTTCGCAAAAGAAACTTTGCTATTTCCGAGTATCTTTATTCCACGATTATTGTAAACTCGTTATTCCATATTATTGTAAATTCCGTTATTCTATATTGCAGTAAATTCTGTTTATCTCCGCGCACGTGGTTTCGCGTAATACAACCGATTGTAATTTCGGCTATTTCCGACCATAGTTTGTGCTCGTTTGACGTTGTCATTTATTACGACGACCGCAAGTTATTAGTTCTACGAATTTCTTATTACGCCCAGTTAATATTAGTATCTCGCTAGTCGAAAACGCGTCTAAGACGTATATTATGTTACTTAGATTTAGGAATTATTATTGTTATTGCGACGTGTAAAGTATCAGGGAATCGCCCCGCGTTTCTTATATAAAATTCACATAAGTGCCAGGAGCACATAATTATTGTTATTACGACGAATGTAAAGTATCGGGGAATCGCCCCAGGTTTCTTATATAAAATTCACATAAGTGCCAGGTGCACATAAATCTCGCCTATTCTTTTCTCGTCGCGTTCACCCGCTATAATATTGGATAATAACGTCACAATTCTGGGTACGACTGCTCTCCCAGTATGTCAGGTACGTGGACTCCTCCTACAAACCTATAACATCATATTCACCCCCTTTTTCCTCCCATCCCTTGGCGAAACTCGTTTTCTGCTGGGATCGAAATTTCCCCCTATCCAGACTCTTCACCGAAACCCTTATCGCTTCACCCCGCTTCTCAGAACTAAGACCCCCTCTCCATTCCGATTCTGTGGCGAAACTAGTTTTCAGCCTGAATCAAACCCCTTTTCTTAATTCCTAGGCGAAACCCGTTTTCTGCCGGTACTGAGATCTCCCTACCATTCCGATTCTGTGGCGAAATCAGTTTTCAGCCGGAATCAATACCCTTGTTACGTATACAGAAACTCTCCGTTTTTAGAAGCTCGCGTTCATTAATCTTATTGTATCTACCATTCTGGAATTTGGAGCTCGGTCTCACTGGAGTGCATCCTGCAGCTGCATCCTCTTAATATCATCTTTGACTCGCGTTGCGTAGGATACTGTCTAATCTACCCTTTTCCCAAGGCACACAGCTGCCCACCTCGGAGCAACGAAAATCCTAACCGTCAGATTTCCAACTATGGAAATCACCGACGGATCCCCACCAACATTTAGGGGTATATAAACCCACGATTTTCGTTGCTCGGGGGCTAGTACGAAAGAGTTACTCGTTAGAGACACATTGATCGTCTGTAGAGTAGCACTCTAGTGAGATCGTGCTTCAGTTCCTTTCGATCATCGTTACCATATAGATCCGCGAAGACGGTTTTAAAATCTATTACGGCCATAAAAGTACTCTTGACCCCCGCATCGCCAGTGCGTCAACACCGCGCAACACTTAGGTAATCTTAACTTCATACACTAACCGCGACAACACGACACTGCACACTTGTAATTAGTATAGTTATTTTTGAATATATACTTTTTGTGTAAACTTACAAGTCTGTAAGATCAATCATCATACCTTTACTTTGAAATCACCAATCCTAGCCAGTGTAACGATTCCACAACGAAATAACTTTACCGCTCGAGTTATTATTCTATTAAATTAACAAGTTGCGAGGCTTTATTAACGACGCGTGTTACATTTTAACGATACGATTTAGTCATTGTGTACTCAACCCGAACTCCTAAACTTAACCTATCCTGCGGTTACCCTTTACTGGGAGATACCGATTCCTGCTAGCTATCTGACTTCGCGCCAGAGTCGCTGCATTTTTTCCAACAATCTCACAGTTCGAACATTACTCTACGGTTACCCTTCACTGGGAGATACCAATTCCCAGCAGCTACCTGACTTCGCGTCAGAGGCGTCTGCGTTTGTCTCCAATAACCAAGACAACCAAATACGTTAACCTACGGTTACCCTTTACTTGGAGATACCGATTCCTGCAACTATCTGACTTCGCGTCAGATTCGTCTGCATTATCTACTCTATCCTCAAATCTTCGGCTCCATTGATACATACTAATTAATCGTATCGGTGCAATTTTCGAATCCATCCTACTCGCAGGGCCACACGCGCGTCGCTATCGCCCAGGTTCGTAACTGTGGATAAGAAAGTGAAATGTGTGTGGGAGGGGAGATTTGCTGTTCCAGAATTTTTTTTGTCCATCTGACAAAGAGTGGGGGGTATTATATAAAAATGTCTAAACGCATTTTTTTCAATCACTGTTCGCAACATCGTTCTATCGCCTCGTATTGAAACATCAGCGATGTGGTCCAATGCTGAAATCGCTCGAGCAACGTGAGTGAATCTTCCGAACAAGAAGTTCAACCAACCATTAACAAAGAAATTGTGCACACAGTAAGTTCTTTGACAACATATTGCAAAATATGCAGTCAAAATTCAATATCCTTTATAATTTTTGGTTTTTCTTGTCAGTGATAGCGATAATGTTCATTCGGAATGTGGAGTATTACGCGTGGTGCGTATACTGGGGAGGAGATATCCCCTGACGGATACATTCTACAAATATCTCGACATCGGGGTTGGAATCGGTGGTTCCTGCGACGTAGAGCTGGCTATAGGAGACTCGTGGAAACGAAATTAATTTTCCTATGGATACGTGGAAAGATCTACTACAAAAAAGGTATAACATTCTGCAGATGTTTACTGATACGCATTAATGATGTAACAGTTAAATTCCGACAACTAAATGACCAAAAACTCGCAAAACTCTCAAATTCTACCGTCTCTATGTTCATGAGTGTAAAAACCGTACAAAAGTTGTTTGCTTTCGAATATTGTATCGATCACATGTACAGTTGGCTGTCTAAAAACTTGTACCTGGTAGAATCTAAGTACAACAAGTTTATAGAAATAATACGAAATGCTGAAATTAAGGATTATGCAAAGGCAATTGTTGAACATGAAAATTTTGAGCATCATTCATTGATTGACTCTGAATTGTTAGCATTAGGTTTAGATGTAATGGTGGAATACAGTTATCAATAAAAAGAATAGCTTGGATATGTGTCTTTCTTTCTAGCGCATTTCCTCCCATATCATATTCTTATCCGGTGTAATGTTTTAAAGCACGTTCTCCAGTATTCTCATCGCCAACGAATGATGTCACCTCTACCGTTTCTTTAATATTTAGTCCTTGATAAATTGTATTGCGCAAATAAGAGATTTGCTGCTGGATTGTAATTTTCAAACTGCGTTTTTGGATCTTCTGCTAGAGACCATAATCGCCAACGAATGATGTCACCTCTTCCGTTTCTTTAAAGATTGTAATGTAATATTATATGTTGCACGGGGCATGAGTGCGAGGAAGAAAATACTCGGGCGCGAGAGAGAGGGAACCCGCGAGCCCGCAACGATGCCTCCACTCCTGCGCGCGAAGAGGACGGTTCTCCTCCCTTACGGCGTGCGCGCTTATCTGCCGCGAAAACGACGAGCATCGTTTCCCCCTCCCTTACAGCATGCGCACTTATTTCGTTACATGTACCATTTGCGTTTTTCTTTTTTATCGATCACTGATAATTACCGACCGGTGGTGTCCCCCTCTATCTTAACGACCGTAGGTAATAATTGCATCCTACCTTACCGACCGTAGGTAATAATTACCGACCCCCCACCACTCGTGCCCCCGCCCCCGCCCCCTTGCTTTCGATTCCCCCTTCCCTCGCTCCTCCCTCGGAGCTCCTGAGGTAGAACCCGCCTATCTTTACTACTGACATCTCGAATTGCAATGATGTATATAATTCAAACAGTATTTAATTTATAATCAAACCAGCCTCGCGAAGCTCTTCTATGATTGACATAATTTCGTTGTCGTGACTTGTATGGCCGACCGCTCGTGATGACAATAGCAATCTCAGTCTATCTACTAATCATCAGTCATATCATCAGTCATATCATCAGGCAACAACCCCAAGCACCCTCCTTCGTACTGTTGTCGCACGTTCTCTGAAGACGTACACTTCAATTGTTTGAAACCGCTTCCTTCACGCTTGTTAAATAGCGGTGCAATAATTTTTTTATACTTGTGTCCCCGGTTACCCATTACAGGATTGCTCGCCAAGTGAGCACACTTGTACGCGTTCGTAACGAGTAATATGTTCTTGCACGTCTGTAGATCGGCACTTGAGTACAACGCATCATCCGGTATTCCTTTAAATATTCATTCGTACAGACCACGAGTACCTCTGTACCTCGTACCGCTTATGATGATGTTGTCGTTGTTGTCCACATCAAAGTTGGAGTTACAAGCATTAACCCATTATTTTTAAAGTATACACCGTAAACGTTGTCCGTTTGTTTCTTACTGTCAACGAAGAAAAAGTTCAAGTATTATCGTGACAGTGGTCCGAGGTTTTCCGCTTAGAACTCATTCACATCTTTATGACTTTCAGGATTCTCAACGATTTCACGCATCGATGTTTGTCGCATTCATGTTTCGTAGTGGTTTAAAGTGGTTCGATAGGGATTCAAAGCGGTTCGATAGTGGTTTAAAGTGGTATCGTAGACGTTTTCCAAACAACTGACTCATCTACTGTACGACAAACTCGTTAAATCGTCGTCGATAAGGACCTTGATGCGTAGGACTATCCTTGTCTATAACCAAAAACCCATAGTTTCGTTGCCAACATTTCGCGCAAAGTTCGTTAAATTTTTGAAACGTTAAATCGGTGTTTACATGATCATCATAAACGTGGCGTACATTCATACTATACTGTTTGAACAGGATCAGCAAATTGGTATTGTCGCGAATCAGGTGTTTCAACAAAGATACAGACAGTCTACATTCGAATGTCTACCTATGGGAAAATACTCTCTTATTACGTCCTGCTTGTCACATGCTACATCATCAAATATAAATATAGAATTCGGTAAACCTTCGTTGGGTGGAAGGTCATCGCTATTATTTGAGAAAGCCAAAAATCTAATATTCTCCACGAATGAGAGCAGTGTTTCCAAATATTGATACTTTGGCTGTTGCAACGACTTTGAGAACACGTATACATTTTCGAATCGCACACCGTTCGGACTCTCCAGCAAGCTAATAACAACGTTGGTTTTTCCACAATTCGAGGGATCGCAGACTATACCACGTATAGTGTCGGGTAACAACGGTCCGTGTCTCTGAAAGCGTTGAACGGTGTCGTCGAACCTTCTGTCCGAAATTACTCGAATTTCGACGGGCTCTCGTATGAAACGCATATTGGTACCGCTGTTGACGTTGTTGCCACAATAAAAAGGGGCTAAAATGATGTCGCGGGTATTTATACAAGCGCCGTACAAACGTATCGCTTAGTGTGATAATGACTTTTGTACTGATCGATGGTGATACACTGTTTGATTTGATTACGGAGCAGCTGGAATACATACCAAAGATTGTACTCTTGAATCGTTTTGCTCGCGACATACATTACGTGTGGAACAAGCTACCGAGACATATCAGAGCCGATCCTAAAGTTCACTCTTATCGCAGATGCTTCTTACATTACAATCGGCCGGATCAGCGTACGCACATTGAAGGACTACCGCCCATGATCAAATACTGTTTTCTATGCATAAAAGGAGGGGAGCAGGACTGTTGAACAAGGTGATAAACAAATTACCGTTTGAACTTCATATACCAGGATATCAATTTTGTGGGACGGGTACATATTTGCAAAAACGTTTAGCTCGCTGTGATCGTGGTATCAATCCGCTGGACGCAGCCTGCAGACAACACGGCCTCGCGTATTTGGAACGTAAAGATCTGAAAGACCGTCACGAGGCAGATAAAATTTTAGCCGATCAAGCACGACAACGCATCGCAGCAAGGGGCGTGACTTTTGGTGAAAAAGCAGTAACAGCGACGGTGTGGGCGGCCATGAAGGCTAAGACGAAACTCGGTATGGGACTTGAGGGAAAGAAGAGCGATAACGAGAAGAAAAAGAAAAAGAAACGAGTGTTACCCGTAGCAAAGCGTGGTGGTTTCCTCCCGTTCCTCCTTCCCGCCTTATCAGCCATAGGAGCGCTGACCGGTGGAGCGGCAGGTGTAGCTAAGGCTGTAAACGATGCCAAGGCTGCGCGGAAACAGCTGGAGGAGTAGCAACGTCATAATCGTGCTATGGAAGGTCGCGGAGTACATCTCGCACCGTACAAGCAGGGGTGAGATTTGAAAAAGAAAAAAAAAAACTTCGATCTACGAGAAAAAAAACAAAAAAATTAGGGAAAAAACCAATAACAAACATTCAACTAGAGAAACTTGGGAAAAAGAATATATCGTACTTTCGCGGGGTGTACATGCGTGATACTCTTACGACAAAGGTACGAGTCAATGAAAGCGGTATAGTTAACTTGGATAACAACGATGGGCCTGGTACACATTGGGTCGCATACGTGAAACGCGGTAGCAAGGTGCGATACTTTGACAGTTTCGGGAATCTTCGTACACCTCGGGAACTGATTGATTACTTTGGGCGGAATGTAAAAACTGTATACAATCATACTCGGTTCCAGAATTTCAATCAAAGCATATGCGGTCAATTGTGTTTCAAGTTTCTTCAGGAAACATCGATATAAACTTGTGATTTCTGATAGGTGCGTCCCATTATTAATTTCATCTTTACTAAACGAGGATGTCTCTAACATTTACCTTGACGGGTAAAAGCAGCGTGCTCTCGGTGACGTACTTTCCACCGATAGATTTGAGCGATGGACAGTATGAACTAGGTCTCATGGATTTTGCGACGTTTCACACGATACCCAACGTTGATTCTAGCAACAATCAATTTTATTTTGGAGAAGATGATGAAGAAATTGTGATTCCTGAAGGATCGTACGAATTGGAGGCGATCGATGAATATTTGAGACGTGAAATATTGAGAAGATATCCCTCTAAGAATAATTCGTACGATGAATACTCTCTCATCGTGCGAGCAAACAACACTATAAAGAGTAAGATACATTGCTCGTATAGAATCGATTTTACGAAACCAAACAATGTGGGATCTCTGCTTGGATTTTCCCGTGTTTTATCGTCCGATGTATGCCATGAGTTGGACTCACCCGTAAACATTACAAACGTTAACATGATTCGTATAGAGTGTAACGTAACTACGGGTTCTTACAGTAATGACTGACCTGTTCACACGATACACAAGTTTTCACTCAGAGTGCCTCCAGGATATAAGATTTCGGAAACGCCACCACGTGGCATTTATCTTCCAATCGTCACACGATCAATAGATGATTTGACGATTCGTATCGTAAATCAAAACAATCGTCTGATAGATTTTCGTGAAGAGGAAATTACCATGAGATTGCACGTACGACGACGACGACGACAAAAAGATACGAAGAAGAAGACACTGAGCGTGCAAAACAAGCGTTTTCTACAATCATTGGGATTCATCGTAAAGCAATAATGTCAGACATATTGGATATTGACGGTACACCTGTCTTTGACAATTGTATAACCAGCATAGAGACACACACCTATAATCCATACGCAAATACTAGACTCGGAAACAGTGATGAGATAAGGATACCGATACAGCAGCAGGATCTGTACACGCTACCGTGTGAGAGTCACTTATACATCGAGGGAAAACTGAGTCTACTGGAGAAAAAACCGGAGGGAATGAAGGAAGATGTTGTTCTTGATAACAACTGTGCTGCCTCTCTGTTTGATGAAATTCGATATGAACTGGATGGAGTTGAAATAGTTCGTTGCAAAAATCCGGGAGTAACAACTCCGTTAAAGAATTATATATCTCTGTCCATTGAAAAAAGTAAAACGTTAGGTAATGCTGGCTGGTATCATAAGCAAAATGCTGCAAATCCAGATTTTAATTTTTGCGTGCCACTTGGTATGTTATTCGGAATCCCTGGTGATTATAAACGCATCGTAATCAATGCGCGCCATGAATTGATTTTAATTCGATCGCGAAACGATGAAAACGCCCTAATTGGTCCTAGCGTTTTGAAACCTGTACTCAAATTGTTTAAAGTTCAATGGCGAATGCCTCACGTCGGTTTGGATGAATTGAACAAATTGGCGCTCTTACGTATTGTTGAAAGTGGTCGACTGATTTCGATGAGTTTCCGCTCCTGGGATCTGTATGAATATCCGTTATTACAAACAACCATGAAGCATACTTGTTCTGTGAAAACTGCAACACAATTGGAGAAACCGCGATATGTGATATTCGATCGAATATCCGCAAACCGATCGAAAGAACAAATTGGACAAAACATTTAATCACTTTAACATTTGTAAACTATCAAACATACGACTACATTTAAATTCAAAATCTTATCCATACGATGACTTGAATCTGGATTTTGATAAGAAAAAGTATGCGACACTTTACGATATGTACGCAAACTTTCGAAAATCATATTACGGACACGGTGAACCCCTGCTCGATATGTTAGAGTTTTTATCATGTGATCCGTTTGCGGTCATAGATTGTTTGCGTCAGAACGAATCTCTAAAGAGTGTCACGACTGATGTTAGGATAGATTTCGAATGCAAAGATAACGTGCCGCTCAATACAACTGCTTACTACTTGATTATACACGATCGCACAGTCGAGTACGGCCCTCTGACGAATGTAGTACGCAGACTAAACTAATACAGTAAAAATCTCTGCTGAATGTTCAGTCTCTTCGAAACTGTCGATACAGCAAAATGGCTCACCTAACGTTCGTAGACTTGCAAGGTTTCAAAACGGACTCGAATGATTTTATCATAAAAGAGATGGCTGTCCTCACGCAAGGAAAAAAGTTATCGCATTGGATATTTGAACCTCCATTTGGATTGCATCGTCTAACGTCTAACGAAAAACGTGGTGTTTGGTGGTTAACGAAAAAACACCATGGAATCAGTTGGACGGATGGTTACGTACCCTACGCGAAGGCGAGCAGCCTGTTATGAACCGCGTTGGAATGCACTGACAGAATTTTAGTTAAAGGATCGGAAAAGAAGAGATGGTTGTACAATTTAACTGGAATGGAAGTCTTCGATGTTGACACGGATTTAGAAGACAGAGAAATACCGAAATTGTCTACAATGAGTGAAGGACATTACAGATGTACATTTCACGATGACGTTTGTGCCATGGAAAATGTGTTCAAAATATATACGCTATTTGATGTAGAAATGCAAACTGTTTTTGAAATATGAAATAAACATGACGTCATGGTACAGAAAAAAGAAATGCTGCATCATTAATAAATTCCTTAAATGATAAGGGATGATGGAGGGGAGTGGATTCGATATAAAAAGGAACTTTGCGATACAGCGGTTAGAAGATTGTAAGATTTTAACCAATTTAAATGTCAGTGATGTGGACTGCTGCTGAAGTTGCTCGAGGAACGGAGGAGAAATTTTTAGATGATAATTACACATTGCGTCCAGTTTCCAAGAAAATGCGTACATGGTAAGATGTTCGTTTCCTCGATGTAAAACGTAGCAAAAATATGCATCATTCATTTCATATTCTTTTCATTTACACAGTGAAACCAATGATTCGCCCGAATTGAAGTCGAGCCGCGGAGTACGTATTTTGGAACGGAGATATCCTTTGACGACTACCTGGTACAAGTATTTAGATATTGGAATAATAATTGGTCGTCGCTGTGATGTGGAATTGGCTATTGGAGATAACCGCGGCAATGAAATCCAGTTTCCAATGTTTACCTGGAAAAAGCTATCGGAGAGAGATGGACATTTTACGGAACTTTGAAATGACGTCTAGTGATCCGATACGTGTTTGCGATATAACGATTGAATTTCGCTGCGTGGACGATGTTAAAGTCGCGAAACTCTCCACTTCCGTCAACGCCTTGTTCCTCACGGAAAAAACGATTTGTAGAATGTTTAATTTCGAATACTGTATCAATCATATGTACACGTGGCTTTCCGAGAATACGTTTCTCGTCGAGCGCAGATATGAAACTTTTGTAAATTTAATACATAATGTAAAACCAAATGATACTGTAAGAATAATTACCGAAGATGAAAATTTTGAACGTCATTCATTGATTGATTCTGAATTGTTAGCCTTAGGGTTGAATGTAATTCAGCATGGTGATCAAATATAATGATGTATTTACAATTGAATATTATTTCTTTCTTCATAAGCGCGAATCACTGGCGGCAGATGCTGGTAACACAGAACGTTCAGCTTGCAGTTTTTGACTTTGTCCCTGAGACAACATATCGGTGTCTCGAATATTCCACGCATTCCTTCACGTATGCCCTTGAAATAGAGTATCCTGTATCCATGGTTCGATCGTGAGTCGGTATGGATATTTAACGATCTAATCTTCCGCGAATAATACATTTGCAAAGAATGCATTTCATTACGTATGACATTAAGATGGTAACACAGAACGTTTAGCTTGCAGTTTTTAAATTTGTCCTCGACTCGCGAAACTTCGCGAATCTTTGCACGTGTCTTTGAAATAGATCCATTAGCGCATTTTAAAGGGGTGTGGACAGCCGATTAAATGGCGCCTCGAAAAGGTGTTCAACCAAAGGTGGGCGGAGGTGGGGCCTTATTAACTAATTAAAAAACACGAAGAGGGGCAGCCAATTAAAAAACACGAAGAGGTGGGAGGCAGCCAATTAAAAAACGAAATGGCGCATTGAAGGGGGTGGTTAATCAAAAGTGACGTCACACTCCCCGAGCCACGAGGCCCTGTCCCTCGCTTCCCCCACCCACAAGGCCCCGCCCTTCGCTTCCCCCGTCCCCGCGACCCCCCTAAGATCCCCTGTTCCTGAACCGGCATACCTTACCTACTCAGTTGTGCGCAAGCGCTATAGTCAATGGGCGATAGCAGTGGGGAAAGGCGCGTATTGAAATTTTGGACGGTTTGCCGAACTACTCTTTGAGTATATAGAAATGTATATAGAAATATATATTGAGTATATGTCTATATACTCAAAGGAACTACTCTTCGACCATTGGTCAAAGCTGCAGTCAGCCTCTCATCGATTCCCTTTCCCTTTTCACATGTAGCCTTGCACAAACATGCCCGCGCGACTCCCACCTTCACCCGACTCGGGGGTGGATCCGAGATCGATGAAGATCACCGATAGAAGGAGTAGGGCGCAACCCCCGATTGGACCAAGACAACCCGAGGGGAGGAACGAGAATCTTCCGGAGAAGGGAGAGAAGCAGCAGATCGAGCGAGGATTTTTCCAGAGAGATCAATCGTAATCGAACCTCTGGGAACGAACCACGAAACGATTTCTAAACCAAACGGGTCGACTGAATAAACGTCTTTGCTTTTCTTAAAAGTATTTCAAATTTTTGTTTCACGCGCCTCTCCGGGCAGAGCAGTTCAGCGCTCCATGGGCACCTTACTCACGTCAGAAAATTCCCTATCACCGCACGACGCGTTCCGCAACAAAGCTATTCCGCGTTGTGGCACTACATGCCATGAAGCTAAGTTCACGTGATAGTGTAACAGCGTCAAGTCTCACTTTTGGTATAGAGATGTTGGTTACGCTCTGCTTAGTGTATAAAGAGTAAGCTTGAGTAGTCCATGTATATATGGTCGAAGGGCGCAACAACCGCAGCAGAGACGACAGCAGCGCTGCAGTGGACAGCATGATAGTGGAGCAACCATATTGCCATACTAATCATCAAGATTTTACAGCAACGAAGCTGGTCAATTTATTTGAAGCGAAGAAGCAATATTTTCTCACGATTCTTTTTCTAAAATATTCTTTACATCACTCCGCATTCCACTGCAAGGCCCGATTTTGCAATTTCGCCTTTAAAATATGATAAATATATGTTTTTAAGGAACAAATTTTTCAATTCGCTTATGATCATCCTAATCTACAGTATGGAAAAATCATGCTAGTCTAATTGCCCTGTTCTTGTATCTCCTCCGATTATTGTATCTTCCTCTCTGTCACAGTATCATTGGAGGAACATAGATCTATCTATTCTTGTCTTGGAGCTTCCCATTTTTTCCGTAACTGTCGCTGAAGTCGACTCGGAATTTTCGGATTCTACTCGCCGAAATCTACAGGATTATGTAAAAAAAAACTTACCAATTTTTGGTTTCCCAAAGTATAATGCAGCCGACAACTGCAAATGGATATTCAAATCCAATGTTACACATATAAGAATTTTATCTAACTGATCAAACAGATTCTCAGTCGATGTGTGCGTTAAAGCACCTTCATCATGTATATTCTTTGATCGTATATAGTAAGAGATAGGAGATGCCTATCCTTAGTAAAATCGTAACCAACGAATTGAAAAAATTATTTATCGTGGTTGTTTGATACGTACATATAATTGTTGCTTGTGTGCGGAAAACAGTACATTCCATAACTGTCCATACTAGTACAAAATTTGACAATGCAATACGTATAGATAATGAGAATAAACATGTCTATCTTTAAAATAGTGCATATTTAACATGTCGTAAATGTATGAAAGAAGTATTGAGTCAGTGCTGCCGACAAAGAATCTGTGAATTTCATATATATCACGTGTAACCTCTTTTATGCTTCAATTGATTAAAGGTAGGCAACAAAATAAAACTAAATATTCGATCTGCGTCTACAATAGATGTTTATTTCATTTCTTTTTTCAATAGATTTTTATATTCGTCTCATATTTAGATTTTTATTTTATTTATTATCTTAAATCATCGTAACGTACATTGTCAGTAATAATAACTAATTCATCGTATTTGACATGTAAATTATATAAATTTTACATTTAGTAATTATATTAACAGATGTTCTACAGTAATATACAAATTTGTTCTTTGCTGTGATTTGTTTATATACTATATTTTATAGTAGAGATGCATGTTAAGATTTTAGTTTTATTCTTATTCTATTATTCTTAAATTATATTAAGTGTAATTAATATTTATTGCAGATTGTAATAATAGTTGAAAGAAGATGAAGTTTGCAGAGCATTTATCTGCTCATATTACACCTGAGTGGCGTAAGCAATACATTAGTTATGAGGTAAAGTGAAATAACATTAATATTGTAATCCCAATGTAAAATTAGAGTATAAAATCAAAATATTATGATACAATTACAGAATTATTTAAAATTTAAAGATCTGTAAGAACTGTTTAGTAGCGATAGTAGTAATAGTAGTAGTTGTATGTTTTATATAGAATTAATAGTTTAATCATTAAGATAACCTCCTTGGGTTAATAGGAAATGAAGGCTATGCTTTATACTGCTATAGAAGAAGCACCCTCGGCTGAAAGTGTCGAACCAGAAGTAATATCTCGACACTTTGCTTCTTTCGATGAGGTGTTTTTCACATTTTGTGATCGTGAATTGAAAAAAATTAATACTTTTTATTCTGGTAAGAATAATTACATACATATAAATTAAATTGATATATCTCGATCTCATAATTTCATTTGCATTATCTTTAATATTATATTAATGTTAATAAATTGTTGTGATGATAGAATAAATAAAGTGACGATGAAAATTCTGTTATTAATGAATATATGTCTTGTATAGAAAAGTTGGCAGAAGCAACACGTAAATATGCAGCTCTTCAAAGTGAATTGAAAGTTGCTCTAGAATTGCAGCATGGTGGAGGCAAAAATAAAGGAAAAGTAATTGTTAAAACTCATTTACCAACGAGGAAGCTTAGGGAACTGAAACTTGCATTCTCAGAATTTTATTTATCTCTCATACTTCTTCAGAATTATCAGAATCTTAATTACACTGGTTTTCGGAAGATTCTTAAGAAGCACGACAAGGTATATAGAAAGAAACCTTCTCTTTCTTCATGATTGTACAGATTCAAGCTTAATTTATTCGTATTTCTCTAGGTTTCAAGATTCGTTTAAACAATAGTGAAAAAATAGGGAAAGAACTAACATTTATCTTTTAAAGTCCCTTATCGTATTATGCACAAGTAAAAATTCAGCACTCCTTTTATCTTGTAGTAGTTTATATTTATTATTGTGCAAGACGGAGTATTAATTGTATTCTTATTTCCAGTTGTTGTCAGTAGATAGCGGTTCAAAATGGAGAGTAGAATGCGTAGAGACAGCACATTTTTACACGTCAAAAGATATAGACAAACTTATACAAGATACAGAAACTACTGTAACAAACGACTTAGAAGGTGGAGACAGACAGCGTGCCATGAAAAGATTACGTGTACCCCCTTTAGGCGAGCATCAAAGTCCGTGGACTACTTTCAAGGTTGGATTATTCTCTGGCAGTTTCATTATCCTATTTGTAGCAGTCGTACTTTCAGGTAATATTATAAAATCTTATATAGTAAGTTTTCGATTTATGCGGTTAGTTCATTTTGACAGACAAATTTTATAAACACGAGTTATATAGGGTGGAAAAATAATCAGTTTAAACATAATAAGAATGTGATGCGAAAAATAAACAGAATGTGGACAGTGTCAAATAAATTTTTGCTTAATTGCAGAGATTAAAAGAGTTGATTACAATGCCTAATACAACTCGCAATTCCTTCCAAGACTGATTTTTATTTTTGCTTATAATACATTTGGTATACAATTTGAGTTTTAAAAGTTCATTTGAAAGTTAAATACATATATATCTATTTCTTTATGGAAAAAAATTGAAGAAAAGCGAGTTGTATGTAATACCTAAGTACATGTGTGTGTACAAAACGTACAGAGTGATTCGAAATAAATGTCTATGGAGAAGAAGAAAATATTGCATTAAAGATTTTTTTTCTTAAAATTGTATTTTTCGAGATTTTGAGATCATCCACTTTTTTTTAACTAGGATGACGTATTTTTATTACTGTAATATTGTGGCCAACAGAATGACAAATTCAAAAATTATATTGATTATAAATTAATTTGTACATTGAATTATGATTTTATAAGAATAATTGTTTTAAAGTTGATCCACAAATTAATACATGGTCGAATTTATCTTAATAGAGATATTTTTTGTTTTAAGCATTTATGAGTCAACTTAATATATAAGAATATAAATGAGAGTGTATCTGGATATCTATGAATCCGCATAACTTGAGGACACAATATAATACTAAAGAATTAATATAATTTATTGTGGTGGTATTAAAAGTGTTTCCACTTTTGTTTTCATTTACAGCAATATTCCATGATGGCGGAGAAAACTTAAAAATCGCATTTAGATTATACCGCGGCCCTTTGCTTATTATAGAATTCTTATTCCTTATTGGAGTGAATGTTTACGGGTGGCGATCGTCGGGCGTAAATCATGTATTAATATTTGAATTGGATCCTCGAAATCATCTTTCCGAACAACATCTCATGGAATTAGCTGCTGTTCTTGGAGTCATATGGACCCTTAGTTTATTGAGTTTTTTATACAGTGCTAGTTTAAGTATTCCACCATATGTAAATCCATTAGCCTTAGTTTGTATAATGCTGGCATTTCTTTTGAATCCATTAAAAATGTTTCGTCATGAGGCTCGGTTTTGGTTGTTGAGAATTATTGTAAGTACTGTCATCGATGTTATCTAATGCAAAAACTGAATTATTATCGAACAATTATTCTCAGTGATTTGTTTCTTAGGGACGAGTTTTAATATCGCCATTCGCATATGTCAATTTCGCTGATTTCTGGTTGGCAGATCAGTTGAACAGCATGGCTACGGCTTTGTTAGATTTTCATTTTTTGACATGCTTTTACATCACTAACGGAAACTGGTTGGAAGCAGGCGATACCATCCAATGTATGTCTGGTTCTCTACTTGTTAGGCCTATTGTCAATTGTCTACCCGCATGGTTTCGTTTCGCGCAATGCATTCGACGGTACCGTGATTCAAAAGAAGCATTTCCACACTTGGCTAACGCTGGAAAATATTCGACAACTTTCCTTGTTGTTATAGCTAATACCATGTGCGTCTATCGGGCTGGTAAGTTATATAAAACTCTTGAGTAGGATTGCTATAATTTTTAATTGAATAGCAGATTGTAACAGAATATATGTTCCTTTTAGTGGACTATTCAAGTCGATGGGAGAATCCATGGTTATGGCTTTGGGTAATCAGTTGCTGTGTCAATTCTATATATTCCCTGACTTGGGATTTAAAGATGGACTGGGGTCTTTTAGATAACAATGCTGGTGAAAACAGATTTTTGCGTGAAGAAGTTGTGTATTCAGCAGCGGTACGTATAGTATTGAAATATAATATTTATTATATTTTAAGCATTTGATAACAAAATGCTCGTACGAAGATACAACAAAATTTACTTGTGAGCATTTATTCAATTTCAAATATAATATTGTTGACTTATTTTCGGATTATTATAAGTATTCTATTTATTACTCTGAAAATGTATTTTTATTAAATTGCTATAAGATTATCCGCAATTAGGTCTACAATATTATATCTGAAATTGGTTAGTTAAATAGATACACATTGGTTAGAAGTATAAGTTTGTTCTACTTGTTACATTAGACTTTCTTCCCAGGGATTTTATTATTTTGCTATGGCTGAGGACTTCATTCTAAGATTTGCGTGGATCGCTAGTTTTGTTCTTGTCGAATGCGAATACGTATCCAGCGATTTAATGATATCTGTGGTAGCACCTCTAGAAGTTTTTAGGTAAGACTTCAGTTATTTGATTTCTTAACACTAAATGTATCAGCATTTTATACAGGGTGTTCACGGAAAATACTAGACAGCATTTTTCTCGTAAATACTAAGTATTAGAAAGAAATGATAAAGGAAAAAATTTTGTAATTTTTTATCCTCACCAAATGCCGTAATATTTTTTATATTTGTAATATTCTTGGAGAGAAAAAATGATGACCTTTAATTTTGTAAAAGAATGCTTTATATTTTTGTATCTACTATGAAAGCGTGTATCAGGACATAATCATTCATGTGTGATACAGTGACTTTCAAGGTTTCAGAAAGTCAGAAATAAGAGATATAATTCGAATATTTTGTTCGAATGTGTTTAAAGAAGTTTTTATTGATACAGGTTAGTTCGTTGAATGCGACTTGTTTGTCGTTGTAATTTATTATGAAACTGTTTATTTTTGTTTCTATTGTTACAACAAAATTTAAATATTTGTTGCTTTCAAATTCCTTTTAAATGCGTTTTTAAAATTTTCGATCGATTCTAACTTTAGTGATCTCTTAAGTAAGGATGATTCAGCTTATTTGAGACTCATAAAATAGCTCACATCAGGAATGTTCGGATCCGTGGTATGTACAATAGCCTGATTTACACTGTAGAAACTTTTGATATGTATGTCAATATCAGATACCAGACATGTGATGTTAAACTAATAAAGATATAATTTTGTCTATTATTATGCATAAAAACGACATTAAATGAACCAAAGAAAAATTTCAGATTGTATTCTGCGAATTCAAACTAGACATTACAAAATCGTAACATTTACTGATCTGTGTATTATCCTAAGGATATTTACTGAAAAATTAAATTAATATGATTTTAAATGTTTGTTATTTGTCCACAGTAATTAAGAAAAATATTAATTCGCGACCCCCAAATATATAAGTAAAAATACATTGTTTTTTGAAGATCTATCGATACCCCCTGATCCAAAACGGAACCAACGCTGTGACCTTTGACCTCGATTTTTTCAAAAACTGGGGCCTATCTAAAAAAACGCCGAAACACGGAAGAAATATTTTTCGATAAAGAAGGTCTGTACTAAAGCGCATTAAAATCGGTGACCCACACTACCTCCCCCTCGCCTTGTGAGTATACGACTGTATTTGATTCCATTGCTGCATGATTAATTTAAATCAGTTGTGGTACAGTTTTCGCTTTCACATCGTTATAAGTTTGAATTTCCTCTGAAGACATTTTCTTTTATTTGCTTGCTCCATCGTCAGAATTGCAAATAAAATCATATCGAAGATCCATTTAGTTATTCATTAATATACTCTTATTTATTGTATACGTTACAGCATTCAATGTACTTTACAAGTATTTAAAAGTCTAACCTAATGTGACCTAATACGATTGTTGTAAACAAGAACGTACCTAACGCTTAATTCGGATCAGCTTTGTATACATATCAAAAGTTTCTACAGTGTAAATCAAGCTATTGTACATACCACGGATCCGAACATTCCTGATGTGAGCTATTTTATGAGTCTCAAATAAGCTGAATCATCCTTACTTAAGAGATCACTAAAGTTAGAATCGATCGAAAATTTTAAAAACGCATTTAAAAGGAATTTGAAAGCAACAAATATTTAAATTTTGTTGTAACAATAGAAACAAAAATAAACAGTTTCATAATAAATTACAACGACAAACAAGTCGCATTCAACGAACTAACCTGTATCAATAAAAACTTCTTTAAACACATTCGAACAAAATATTCGAATTATATCTCTTATTTCTGACTTTCTGAAACCTTGAAAGTCACTGTATCACACATGAATGATTATGTCCTGATACACGCTTTCATAGTAGATACAAAAATATAAAGCATTCTTTTACAAAATTAAAGGTCATCATTTTTTCTCTCCAAGAATATTACAAATATAAAAAATATTACGGCATTTGGTGAGGATAAAAAATTACAAAACTTTTTCCTTTATCATTTCTTTCTAATATTTAGTATTTACGAGAAAAATGCTGTCTAGTATTTTCCGTGAACTACTTGTATATGGGTGATTCTGAGATAACTGATTTTTACATTTGAAATTTTTAAAAAATTAAAAATACTTTGAGACGTATGTTTTTGATGTTTTTGTACTGAAATTATACACAGAATTAAGCTTCTATCGTCATTCCACTATAACTACAACAGAATGAAAATTATAACGAAATTCGAAAATTTAAAAGCCATGGTACTGACATATAAATGAAATAGTCAAATTACTTACATAAATCCTTACAAATTCTGAACGTAGTATCATCAACCATGTTAGACACAATAATTATGTGTAATATTGCTAAACAAAATTATAAATCATAATACTGAAGGAATAATTTCAAAATATTTTTAATGTTCCCTTTTTGATTTTAACACTCTTTAAATTTTATTTATTATGAAATTAGTTTAACAATTTTTTTTGTAATAATAAAATGAAAACAAATTTGACCTTAGTCAATACATAAAGATAATTAAAGTTTTGATCAACAATTAATGTAGAAAAATAACATTAGAAATTTTATTGTATTCTCAAGTATTATTTTATAAATCATAGTTTTTTTTATCACATCACACAATCGAATTATTTTATATTTCTTATGCTTCGTCGAAGTGTTATATTTGGAGCTATTTTTGGTCTTTTATTTTCAATACTGATTACGGTGTCATTCAGAGATCTTTTTAATTTTTTGTCAGTCTGTATTTTTAGATAAACTGATTTATCTGGCAATCGATTATCACCATAATTTATTTGTCCCATCGAGAAATGTTTACATATTACACCAGGTGGACAATCAAAACAACTTAATGAGTTAAACAAAATTAGACCGGGTTTTTCCTTACTCCAAGTGCCAATAAAAGGACGAAATTGTACCGGCAGTAAAGTATCGATAGATTTGATTTGTGTGAAGTGACTACGTCAATATGAATCTTTTTCACGAAACAACGCAGTCGATACCAAAGTGTCGAAATTTGAGATGTTGCCATATTTTACTTTATCATTAGCTATTCTTTTTAAAGATCCTCCAATGCCATCAGCCGAGCTTTTCCCGTGCCATGTTTCATTAAAATTGTATGTTACATATTCGATTTGAGGATAACATTGAAGAAAATGTTGACAATGAGTTAAAAAATTCAGGTAAAATTTAATATAACCATTTTTTGCGTTTTTATACCATGGTACTAATGAGTAAAGTAATTTCTGAGAAAATTTCGGTAATTATTTAAAAGTATAGTCTAAACGAAAAATAAGGCACGGGGATTCGAACCCACGAATCCTCGAATCCACAGTCAACCGCTTTACTTACGCGACCAATCCCGTACCCTGCGTTTCGTGTTCTTATTTGACTCCTTATTGTTGGGTATGGGAGGCGCGGATACTACATATGTTACCGCCGCTCGGCCTTAGTTTCCAGATATTTGCATATAAAGATCATACATTTACACATACGAATACATTATATATAGCATACAAAAACACATTGCAACGGTTCAAACTTGTTTTGAGAGCGTTTTGAATCCGTATCTTTGTGAGATGTATGTTTTTTAAATTTTGTAAATGGTTTTTCAGCTGAAAGCATACGCCTCGAAACTAGACGCATGCTGGGGGGCTGCGCCCCCTCAACTCCCCTTAGAGCGATATACATCCTTCAGAGTAACCATGTGTACACCTGCCAGGTGCGCTGCAGTACTCATAGTTGGGGGCTTCGTCCCCAACCCCACGACCGGGGGCAAGCCCCTGGATCCCCACTTTTTTTTACTGTACGAATAAACGTGCATGATACAAACTCTCAGAACAAGTTTGAACTGTTAGTGTGTTTTTGTATGGTATATATAGCGCAGTGTGTTATGGAAATGTATGATCTTTATATCTAGAGACGCGGTAGCCTCGACACCAAGTTCATGAAAAATTATACAGCCACCCTGTATAATGTGGCGCTACCGCTCATCTTTTACAGGAGAGATGGTCTATTCTAACCTAAATTGAAACTTCTTTCATTAATATCTCATCACGCCTGCAATATTTTCTAAATTTAAATGCATTTTTCTAATGTAAATTGCATATAACCTTTCGAATAAAATCGGTCCACGTACAACTGAGATATCGTAACAATACCATGTCATGATACATGCAAAAATATTACCATCTTACACTTTTCCAGTCGAGTTTTCGTCAACACTTAGCCAATAGGAGCTAAGGCTGTTCATCGATTCGTCGACTCTCCGAATCAGTCGGCAGGGCTCATCGGCCGGAATTGTAATATGGCTGCCGCTCACGCCGCTCGTTCATTTCTAACCTGTATAACCTGTTAGTTTGTATTTCTGACAGTTGTCATTTCTAACCTGTATAACCTGCCAGTTTGTATTGGTGACATTTGGACACCGCAAATTGAATAATTATTTTAAAGGCTACGTGTAGTGATATTGTATTGGGAAGTATATGGTTATAAGTGATAAAATATCTACCTTGTCGTTGTGAAAAGATATATATAAATTTGGTGTTTGAGTGTGCAGTTCATAATACAAATTTCAATAAATGTTCATCTTGTGCAAATAAGAATAAGTGTTCCAATACAATAAATTGTGTTTTATAAATAGTGGATCACTTTTTTTATTTTCACTTCATGATATACATTTAAATTGCTTGCAACAAGACTTTCTGTCACACGTTCCGTGTACGTATGAACTGTAAAAACAAAGGGAGAGAGAACGCATAGCAGGATGTCTCACTGCAAGAAATTTAAATGTTAAAGATGAAGCGAGAAATGAAAAAAAGAAATCGACTATTTGTAATGCACAATTTATTCTATTAAGATATAGTTCATACGTTTACAGAATGCATGAAAGAAAGTCTTGTAACAAATTTAAATAATGAGAAAATGAGAAAAGGAACAGAGATCCACTATTGGTAATACATAATTTATTGTATTACAATAATATAGAAAAAAGAGAGGTCAG